CAGGACCAGGAGGTTTTGGAGCTGAAGTTCTTTGGTCCAGGCCTGTTGCGAGCCAGGAGGTGCTGCACAGTGTAGCTTTGAAGGAGAAAACCAGAACGACGGTTGTTTTTAAAGTAAGGACATCAGGTGATGAAGGACTTTGAAGCATTGATTGTCCTTTATCGCAAAGCTTAGAGAAGTACGTTTCACTCCCCTGCACCAAGTTGCATAGCAACGCTCCTCATCCTTTGCTGGAGCATCCAGCTGACTGGAGCGGATGGAGGCAAAGCCCTGCACGCCTGAGGATGGACTTGCCTCGTCTCCACAGCAGGGACACCAGGGCCTGTGAGCAACCCCAAAAGCTCTGCCTGCCCTAGTGCTCGGATGTGTTTTGTCTTTGCGTCCTACTTCCGCACCAAAGTCTTCTATTATTGAACCAACCCACGTAAGGAAGATGCTGTTGGACTCCCATCTCCACACGCTCTGGAGTTTCCCTTTGGCAGGTGAATAGTGAGCAACATAAAATCTTGAAGGCTGTTGCCTGGCTCTCAAGGCAGCCCCTGCTGTGCTCATGGGGCAACTGGAGAAGGCTTGGGTAGATTCTGGTGGTGTCGGAGCTTGTGAGGTTACCAGTGCACTCAGTCTGTGCATAAATAAGGGTAATTCTGATTTCACCTCTGTTTCGTGGCTCAGATGTCAGTAAGTCTGTGCTGAAAAGAGCAGCCACACAGATATGCAGCATCCTGGAGGTTTATGCCTGGAAAAGACTGATTCTGAACAGCACAAATGCAATGGTTGGAGGTGTGAGAATATAAGGAGGGGGAGCATCAGCACGGGAAAGAAACTTTGGTGTTTTGAGGACATCATGCCTCTGTCTCAGCACCTGGAAGGTGTTATTGTCCCAGCACAGCTCCCATCACAAGGCTCCTGCCACCACCAGCAGCCCACTGTACTTCTGCAAAGCCCTTGGTGCAGCTCTGAGCTTTAGCGACCTGGTTTGAAGGATTTAAAGGTCACTATTCCTGCCCGTGCTAATGGTCTATGGGGATGACGTTCGCCCAGCTCCAGCTCTGGCAACGTGTGTTCCCTGAGCCTTCGGCTGTATAACAAATGACATTTCCCAATGTCTGGGTTGGTGTCTTACATCTGTAACTCCATGAGCCACACGAGCTGCTATTTGAGGAGCTGCTGGGATGGGGATGGGAGCACGTGCTTTCCCCGGCTGCGGGAGGGGATCCCACAGTCCCTGCTAAGCCCCTGCAAATCCCCACTGGGCACAGGGAAACCTGAGCCTCCCACCTGGCCTTGGCTCTGCTCTGGCTGCACATCACCAGGCTCCCTGCCCGGCCCCAGCCTGACAGCTCTCCCCAGCTCAGCTCTTAAAATAGTCCCTGCCTCCCCGAGGTGCCCAGAGAGTCTGTAGCAGCCCAGCTGCCAGCACCGAGGAAGCGGATGGGAAGGAAGGGGGCAAGGGGTGGAAGAGGGAATCGCTCTGCATGCACCAGAGGCACGACTGCCCTGCAGCTCCCCACCTCTCTTTAAAGGAGTGAGGTGCCAATGATCGCACAGCCTGTACCCCAACACCCGGTTCCCCACTGCCCACATCCCCTCGTGCCAGAAGCTGCTGCACCACTGGGCCATGGAGGAACGGATGGAGGAGGAAACACCAACAGCCCAGGACACAGGTCAGTCCTCAGGTGTGCGGCTCCACAGCCAAAATCATGCCAGGCTCTTCCCACGCCGGCGGAAGCCACTGAGACCTGTCTGGCCATTGCTCCAGAAGGATGGCTGTCCTCAGCCCCTCTTTCAGCCTAAGCATACAGAGATGTTGGTAATGTCTCTTGGTGATGGTCCCACAGGAGGCCACCACCCCGTGCGGGAAGGAGAGGTGTTCAACACGCGGTACCAGGCTCTGCGCAAGCTGGGCTGCGGCACCTTTGCCACCGTCTGGCTGTGCCAGGACATGAGGTGAGGGACTCGCTGTCTCTGGGGAGGTGGGAAGGGGTGGCTGGGCTCCTGGGCCAGCAGAGCACAGCAGCCTGCCTGGGAGCATATCGGACCCCCTGCGCATAGGGCAAACCTGGCAGTGAGGTGGATGGCTGCAATAGGCAGGGTTGGTCCCCAGAAGAACATAAATGAGGTGGCATCAGCCAGCACACTGCATTTACACTTTTCATTTAGACCTTGCAGTATCCATGCTCTGCCTTTTTCTCTCTCAGATGCCAGCAGCATCACCAGGAGGGATACCCGTAGGTCTGGCATGCTGCAGACCAAGGGCAAGGCTGCCTGCAGGAGGGCAGAACCCTCCCTTGGGAGCCCTGGGCTGGGTGACTGGGAGAAGAGGTGCTGTTGGGCAGGACCACTCTGACATGCATTGGCTGGCAGCTGTGATTCCTTTCCCAGGAGGAAGAAACAGGTAGCTGTGAAGGTCCTGAGGAGCAGGGAAGGGTTTGCTGAGGCTGCCCAGGATGAGGTCGCTCTCCTCCGCTGTGTATGTATATCCTGGGGCTCTGTGGGGATGGCCACCGAATTCAGGTGTGAGTATCAGCCTCATCATCCCTTCTCCCTCTGGGTCTCAGTCTGAGGAGCTATGTGGGGAACTGGAAAACAAACAAAAATTAGGGAATTCATACAAATCAGCCTGGCTCAGCACTGAGCCGAAACAGGCACCTTCTCCTTCCTCCTGCCCTACTGGGATGTGCTGGCTGTGTCTCACTTGCCCTGACAGCCCATTTCTTTCAGCTGAGACTGAAATTCAGTAAACAGGAGGAACCTGGAGGAAGATAAGGCAGTTAATCAACAGAAAAAGGTGGTAATGTTCCTAGGAGCAGATGGGAAGGTGTCTGCCGTATTTGTGTCATTCCCAGCTCAGAGGATGTTGCTCTATCACAACACTGACACTGAAGTAAAAGGAAATACCTGCAAAAAAAGGGGGAAAAAATGCAGGCTGTAGCAATAAAATAATAAACATCTGAAGTCAGAAAGCTTCCTCCTGCCTTTGCTAATGGACGAAGCAACGAGCTGCCTAGGCCTGGGTCTCACCTAGTTGCCTTTGAAGATGGCTTGACCTGCTAGTTCTAGAAAGCTCATGATTATGATTCTTTGAGTTTGCCTAAATACAAAGTGACATCAGCTTCGGATGAGTAAAAGCCATTACATTTTGCATTACAAATTACTCTCGAGGCCTTTCTCCGACAGGTTTGAGAAAGGTTTAATTCACATCTGTAAATCTGTAAGCCCTATCCAAAGGGAGATGTGCCAGGCTCAGTGATGCAAGAGGAAGTACCAAGTGGCACTAATGTAATGTAATCAGGGAGCTGCTTTTCTACCCATCAGCACAGCAAACAGGCTGAGCTTACCCTTGATTTATTACTGATTCTCTTGGAAAGACACGCTGCCACTCAGCTGGTCCCAGGGCTGCTCCCACCGGCACACGGTGGTTTCAAAAGGCGATGTCCCAGCGTGCAGCTACCAGCCAAGGAGGGATAGAGCCATCCCTGCTCTGAGCACAAGGAGCAGAGGCTTTAGGAGGGCAAGGGAAATGGACAGTTACTGTGCTGGGAGCTGTGGTCTTGGGGGAAACCCCTTCCAGCACAAGCAGGAGCACTTTCTGGGCCTACATGGGATAGAATAAGAAGCAGGAAGGGTGTTATATTAGCAGGATTGGTTTGAATTACTTGGACGCTGGGAGAGTGATGCTCTCACCTGGTCAAAAGCTAGACAAGAGACTCTGCTTGTGTGGGTTACCTGACGCTGGTTTTATTGGATTTGTCATGAAGGGCCAACTCCTGGAAGAGAAAGTCTGTAGGACAGGATAAAATGAGCGCAAGATGTTCTTGTGAAATATAAGTCTCTAATTGCAGCTTTCTTGGAATCCCCCCCAGGTGAGCAGCATGAGGAAGACCGACCGGGCAGGAGAAAACATCATCTGTTTGTTAGATGACTTCAGAATGATTGGAGAGAACGGCTTCCATATCCTTCTGCTGGGAGTGCTGTGGGGCTGCGAAGCCTGGGCTTGCCTCGGAGAGACACAGGATGGTGTAAAACCAAACACTGTGCTCCTGTGAGGGTGAGCAGGGTACATGGGGCACGGTACACGGAGGTGGCTGGACGGGAGAGGTTGGAGAAGGAGGTATTTGGCCATTCTGGTGAAAGGCAAAAAGCTGGTGGCAGCATG